CACAAAAAGCATTTGGCTTGATGGAAAAGGAGACGCCAGCTGAGAAGGTGGAGGCCAAAGGCCTCTCGACAATGCTAGATTCACAGCTTCCTCTGCTGTGTGTTTCTGCTTCTTGGAAGTGAAGCAAGGAGACAGAAGGAAGGGGCGTGAGCCCAGGAGAACCAAGCAGGTCAACCGGAGGAAAGGGGGTCCCTCTCGGCCTGCGCTGCTTCCAGAGGGGCCTCTCCTCCGACAAACGGCAGGCGGAGGCTTAAACTCCATCCGACGCCCTCGCCTGACACTCCCCCACCCACCACACTGTACACGGACCTGCCAGTTGTGCTTCGGAAATCTTTTACTACACCAGGGCAAAAGGCTACTTGGCCCCGAGCCGGGAGGCTCCTGCCCAGGCGTGTCGTCTCTTCCTGAAGTCTCTTGCATGATGCCGGGAGGTGGCAGCAAAACAAGAAAGGGTCAGGCCACACATTTAGTAAGACGTAGGTATGGGGTTTGGAAGCCCTTCTTACTTGTCTCTCCTCCACAAAGCTGCCACAAGGTTTATAGTTTGCTTTGTTTTATTGTTTGGTGGTGTGTGGGAGTGATTGATTGATTGATTGATTGATTGATTGATTGATTGATTGATTGCTTGATTGATTGATTGATTCATTCATTCATTCATTCATTTAATCTGGGAACCAGCTGAGGCCGGAAGGAAGATGCGGTTTCAATCAATCAATCAATCAATCAATCAATCTGGGAACCAGCTGAGGCCAGAAGGAAGATGCGGTTGTCTCTCATTATTAGAATGCATGTTTTAGGTGGACTCCCTTCCCTGTATGACTTTAGCCTCAGATTGAAGCCATCTGAATTCCTGCTCTCAGCCTACATTTAACAGGACCCATAGAGGAGTGGAGAACAGAGTAGAGCAGAGCTCAGGATGAGATCCTTTCCGACCTTCTTGCAAAGCTTCTGCAGGAGTGGCACCACCCTCAATGCGTTATGCTCTCAGTTTCATTCAGAAGTTGAGTGAGAACAGGAGTTTGGTGAAGGTTTCCAGGCAGGGCTGGGGAAAAAACTGACTTCTGTGTAACACCCTGTTACAGAGAGCGGCTGTGGCGGCTGTAAGTCAAGCCTCAGCAGTATACTGTGCTAGATGAAGCCAAGCCCTGACCCTGCCAAGCCGGATTCCCGGGTCGTTGTGACGGACGTAATCCCACTTCCTCTATGCCACAGTGAGGCCAGCTGTACATTTCCTGGCTCTGCTTGGACTCCATGGGACCGTGTCCCTCACTGGGAGCAGGGAGAGGCTGGGTGATTTGGAGGTGTTCAGAAAAGGCTGTGTGTCCACTTTCTCACAATTGAACTCAGAAGCTGGAGGACAGTATTCCAATTCCTGTGCAAGGAAGGGGAGGCGGAGAGAGACCACCGGACCCCTGAATTGCAGCTGGAGGCGGGCAGAATGGCTTCTAAGCCCGCGCTTTTTGGATCAGAGAACTGCAACTACCAGGAACAAGGGCTTTTTAGTGGTGGCTCCATGGCGTTGGAATCTTCCCAGTCTTTCTCTTTCCTTTCTCTCTCTCTCTTTTTAAAATGAGTTCCAGCAGGACGTCTGCAGATGAAAGGGTTTGGGAGATGCTCTTCTCCCCTGCAGGCAACTCTCTGGCTAGAAAACGAAGTGACTTGGGTAAAGAAAAAGGCCCGAGGCTCCAAAGGATTCCCTTCCAGAGTTCCCTCCTTGTGGAGATGCTCCGGCACTGGGTTAGGCAGAGTCGCCCGGATGGCTAAGCAGGCCAAGGACTTTGCCTCTTCCTCTGTGGTTGGTTCTCTTCTTGACTGCTATGGACTCAATGAAAAGTGGTTCTTTGCTGCCCCCTGTTGGCCCTTCTCTGGACTAACATGCCTGCCGGCTTCCTTGCCATTTCTTGGGAGAGGGTTTCTGGGCTTCCAGGTGCCACGCAAGGCTTCAGACACCGGAAGTCTCTCTTTTAAGCCATAAACCTAAGAAACAGGCACATTGCCTCCTACCTTACAATATTTATTAAATGGAGAAAATGTCTCCCTGTAGGAGGGTGTGCGCGGTGGTAGCCTCGGAGCGTGGAGATCTGGCACCAGCTCTACACCCACATCTCTGAATCGTTCTCTCCTGGACTCACACAGGGGAGGACGGGACCCCAAACAGCCCTCTATGAAGCAGGGGTCTCCTTTTTTTGCAACACGGCGAGGGGATTCTTTGCTGCTAGGAGTGCCCCCTCCTGGCACAGCTGGCACCGTGCAAGTATGCCTCACAAGACCCAGTAAGGATGCTGCTCCTGCCACCTAGAGGACCAAGAAAAAATTGCACATGTGTGTGGGGGGGGTGTCCGTATAGAGGGGAAGCATTACTTAATCATTCGTTTTACTATGAATAAACAATGGCACATAATACAAATGCTCCAATATTTGGCCATGAAGCCTCCCTCCGCCCCCGTTTTTTTCCCCACTGGCATTTTGGTAGCACTACCAGAGGAACAGGGACGTGGTGGCACTGCGGGCTAAACCGCAGAAGCCTCTGTGCTGCAGGGTCAGAAGACCAAGCAGTCGTAAGATCGAATCCACGTGACGGAGTGAGCGCCCGTCGCTTGTCCCAGCTCCCACCAACCTAGCGGTTCGAAAGCATGCAAATACAAGTAGATCAATAGGGACCACCTCGGTGGGAAGGTAACAGCGTTCCGTGTCTAAGTCGCACTGGCCATGTGACCACGGAAGATTGTCTTCGGACAAAACGCTGGTTCTGTGGCTTGGAGACGGGGATGAGCACCGCCTCCTAGAGTCGAACATGACTTGACAAAAATTGTCAAGGGGAACCTTTAAATTAAACCTTTAAACCAGAGGAACACCTATGACTGGGGCACGTGTGTCGGATCTTGGCCAACCTGGAAACAGCTCAGCCGTCCTGTCAAGGGGAACCTTTACCTTTACCAGAGGAACACGTATGACTGGGGCGCAGGTGTCGGATCTTGGCCAACCTGGAAAGAGCTCAGCCGTCCCGTGGGATCCTTTCCCTCTTGGTCTGCGCAGAGATTTGTAGGAGGGCAGCAGGAGAAGGTTTCATTTCTGATCCTTTTCCTAATTATCCCCAGTGCAGAAATAACTCTTGCCCCCCTCACTTCAGGCACTGCCCTGACCTTTTCAGGGAGATCTCCATCCAAGCCCGAAAGTCCTTGCTGCAGTTGGTCACTCTCTGCTCCAAGTCTCCATCAGAGCCAAGAGCAAGGAATCCGTTACTCCTGACACAGGCGAAACCAACCAACCAACCAACCCAGACCCATTCAGGAAAATCTGAATAGTGAGGCTCAATGGTGGTGTTTAGTTTCCTAAAGTGCTGTAGTAAATATTTTTAAAGAGCTTTTTTCTTTTTAATGAGCATCATTACACATGGTTAAAGGGAGTGATTGCAATTAGACACAATGTCTCCCTGATTGTGACAAGGTTAATAATAAGGAAGATAATTTATATAATTAGATTATGACTCTCTGTGATTACACAGAGGGGCCACACAATGCTGGTAAACACTCGGAACAGGCTGTGTGGTGTGTGTTTTTTGTCGTTGTTGTTCATGAATGGATATGAAATCTCAAACACTCGGAACAGGCTGTGTGGTGTGTGGTGTGTGTTTTTTGTCGTTGTTTTTCATGAATGGATATGAAATCTGTGTTGATTAAAGCCAAGCGATGGCATTTATGGACCGCCTGTGGAATCTACCAAATTACACAAGAAGTGTAACTAGTTGGGTTTTCTTGTTCCTGAAATCTTCGGTTGAATATTGGCTTTCTTTGTAAGCCATCTGTGTACATGAGCTGTTTTTTTCTTGCTCCGGATATCCTGCCTCTGTTTCTTCAGGTCATCTCTGTTCCTCTAGCATGGCTATGTATCCAAATGATGATGTACAGAGGAAGTGCATGGCTAGAGCAAACGATGGAGAGACCACTGAGGCCATGAGCCAACTGTCTGGAAATAAACCACATTGCTGATTTGGGTGGGGTTTTTTTATTTTTGTCTGTTTGTTTGTTTCTGTTTTCCTTAATCATCCGTTCATTCAAACTGTGAGTTACCCAAAGCAGTCAGGACGGCATGCATAAATGCATAAAACACAGTAAAATCAATAAAACCTCGTTAACTCTAAAAATAAACACTGTTAAAATATCAAAGGGATTTTTGATTTCACAGAGGTGAAAACAGCTCTGAGACAAATCTGGGCAACAGAGTGTTTAAGAATTCATAAGCTCTGATAGAATAAAGAGGTATTTGCAATGCACAAATTATATATATATATATATGACAAGTTAGTTGCAAAGCAGACCCCGTTAAGAAGGTCATTCCATCCTTATGGGCTTCTCAATGAAGGAAAAGCCTGCTGGCGGATAGCGACCCACCAGATCTCATCCTGCACAGACAGACACTCTCTGAGCAGGATTCGGGGCACAGAGGAAGGGAAGCAGAGGTAAGAGAAGAGGCGGCTCAGCCTTGTGCTGCTCCGTCCCTAAGTTATAAAATGTTAGAATGACCGCTTTGGAGTGAGCCCAGTCATAGAGCTGAAGCCAGCGGACGCGGTCCACTGCTGGGACCCAGGGACAACAAAGCCCGGCTCCAGTCGGTACAGCGCTCGCTGTCTTGCTCCATGAAGCTTATGAATGGTCTTCAAGGGCAGCCCCAGCCACCATGCGTGGCAGTAATCTAAACAGGAGTTTGGCAAGACGTGGATCGGGCCAGGCTCTATCCCCATGAAGGCCGAGGTGCGGTCAGAATGGCTAAAACGCGCTAGGCATGTAGCAACCAGAATACGGTAAAGCTACTTTTTCAGAGGCTGGCTGGGGGATGCTGGGCATTGTACTCCAAATCCATTAATCAGTCCATCAAATCCAAGCTCAGGGGAGTGACTGGGATCTCTCTTCTGTCACGTGGCCTTCATTATAGCATTGCTTCTCACAGCCTTTCTCTGGATTTCTCTTCCCCCCCACACACACACCTCTATTCTCTTCCAGGTGCCCCGTACACCTTACCATGGAAAGGCTGGTCCTCTCCCTGCTGGCGATGGGCGTTGCGGTCAAGGCCATGATGTGCCCCCCGCGGTGCCGGTGCCAGACCCTCTCCCCTTCCTTCACCATCCTCTGCACCAAGACTGGGCTGCTGTTTGTGCCCCCGGGCATTGACCGGCGCACGGCCGAGCTCCGCCTGATGGACAACTTCATCACCAGCCTGCGGCGGAAGGACTTCGCCAACATGACGAACCTGATCCACTTGACGCTGTCCCGGAATACAATCAGCCAGATAATGCCTTACACCTTTTTTGATCTCAAAGGCCTTCACGCGTTACACCTGGACAGTAACCGACTCACCTACATCAGCGAGGATCACTTCAAGGGGTTGATCAATCTTCGCCACTTAATCCTGAGTAATAACCAACTCCACTACATCTCGCCGGGCGCTCTGGATGATTTCATTGAAACCATTGAGGACTTGGACCTATCCTATAATAATCTTGTTCACGTTCCCTGGGACACAATCGGGAGGCTTTCGAATGCCAACACCATCAGCCTGGATCATAACCTCATTGATTTTGTACCGGAAGGGGTCTTCTCCGACCTCCACAAACTGGCCCGGCTAGACATGACCTCCAACAAACTGAAAAAGATCCCGCCGGACCCCCTTTTCTCCCGCATCCCTGTCTACGCCAAGCCCAAGGGCTCCCCCCTCTCCTCCCTGGTGCTGAGCTTTGGGGGCAACCCCCTCCACTGCAACTGTGAACTCGTGTGGCTCCGGAGGCTCACCCGGGAGGATGACCTGGAGACCTGCGCCTCGCCGCCGGAGTTGTCGGGTAAGTACTTCTGGACGATTCGAGAGGAGGAGTTTGTTTGCGATCCCCCCATGATCACACACCGAACCCCCAAACAGGTGGTCCTGGAAGGGCAGAGCGTCTCCTTGAAGTGCAAAGCCGTGGGCGACCCCGAGCCGTACGTCCGCTGGATCTCGCCCGGGGGGAAGCTGGTCTCCAACACTTCCCGAACTGTCTCCTACGAGAACGGGACCTTGGATATTTTGGTGGCTTCCGTGGAGGAGAAAGGGGAATTCACGTGCATCGCATCCAACGCAGCAGGTGTGTCCACCGCCCCGGTCGAACTCATGGTCAAGCCGTACCCTCAGCTGGCTAACAGCACAAACTGCGAGAAGGAAGCGGATCCGGCCCCCTCGGACATCCTTATTTCGGCCAAGTCAAGCTTCCCGAATGAAACCAAATCTCTGCCCGAGAGGAAGGTTGTGGTGGCCGAGCTGACCTCTTCCTCCGCTCTCATCCAGTGGCCTTCTCAGCTCCACCTTCCGGGAATCCGGATGTTCCAGATCCAGTACAACACCTCAGCTGATGAGATCCTGGTGTACAGGTAATCCTGGCCTTTTCGCTGGTCAAACAGCTGGTTTGTTTTTGTTTTGACTGTGTCTGTGAACATCACCCCTTTTCTTAGTGGATGCCTCCTCCTCCTCCTCCTCCGAGGAAGCAGCGTTGGGATTCATGGTGCCTTTTCCCATACGAAGAAATCTTAAAAAGGGAAGCAGGGGAGGTTCTACCTTTAAAAATCCCAAGAGGGCAAGAATATAGTTCTTAAACCCGAACTGTGTCTTTCTTCTTGAAATCTGAACTACAAACGAAGTATTTGATTGAAGGCCCAACTAGACATTACAGTCCAAACTCAGCTGTAAACTTTAAGTGGATCAGATTCACTGAATCAGAGGAATCCAGGTAAGCAGGCAGCACTGGCCACTTGGCAACTGACTCAATGGGTCGATTCCAATCTGGCCTGGCAGGTGAATCTCACCTAACTTTTCTTATATGAAATTGACTAATGTATGAACAAGAAAGAACGTAAGCAGCCACTGCAGGAGGGCAGAGCAGCACCGGGAGGGATGGAAGGTTTTTAACTCTCCTTCCCAACATTAACGCTAACAGCCCAAAAAGTAAGTAGTAAGTCTATCAGGGTCATATGACCTGTTCCAATACACATCGGCCAATACAATCGACACACAATACAAAAAAAACCACAGGAAGTTAAAGAAAGAAAAATAAAAGTTTTCAAGCATTTTATAATAAGCAAGTTCCAAGACAGCAGCTCCGGGGGGGGGGCATATGGATGCTTCTGTGCGGCATGGATAGTTTTGACAAAGACCAGGGTAGAAAGCATGAATGCCTCCCTGGCTACCACAACTCTGTTCATCCGCCACTGTAGCAGCTCATAACCTTTTGTAAAGGTCTTAACCTTTTGTAAAGTTTCCATGCAGTTAATGTCACCCAAGCAGCGAGGGCGAGAGAAGATTTTGCCCCTCTTGGGGCGAGAGTCAGGCCCTTCCTGGCTGTTTGATGCCTGTTTCTGGGGGGGAGGAGGGGGGGAAACCCACTGCCGGGGTTGAGAGGAAGGTGGGCCACCGCCTCACCAGCCAGATAGCTGGCACATGACTAGGCAAGCCTTTGGCCACCTCGTACACGGCTTCAGCCCTTTTTCCCCAAGGGTCTGGGAGCAAACAGGCGTTCCCTGCCTCGTCCTTCCGCTTCTCTGCACTGACGCTGTGCTCCCTTGCAGGATGATTCCGGCGGCCAGCAAGTCCTTCTTCCTGACCGATCTGGTGGCCGGGCGGGACTACGACCTTTGCGTCCTTGCCGTTTATGACGACGGGATGACCTCCCTGACGGCCACCATGGTGGTCGGGTGCGTGCAGTTCACCACGGAGGAGGAGTACCGGCAGTGCCGATCCCTCCACGCCCAGTTCCTGGGCGGGACCATGATCATCATCATCGGAGGCATCATCGTGGCTTCGGTGCTCGTGTTCATCTTCATCCTCCTGATGAAATACAAAGTTTACGCCAGCCACCACAAAAACAAAAGCACGAAAATGAGCCACGTCTGCTCCCAGACGAACGGCGGCGGCCACGGCGGCTCGGTTGCCCACGCCGGATCCAAAACGGCCGAAGGGCTCCAGTCGCAGGAATGTCCGCAGGGGCCGCCCCTCAGAGGCAAAAGCCTGCTCAGTTTGGAGTGCGAGCGAGCGGCACCCACGGACGCGGCCGTTTCGAGAAGCGAAGGCTTCCTCCAAGAGGCGCACTGAGTCTCCCCCCACCCCCCGGGGTGCCGTGCAAGAACTGATGGGGTTGTATTTTAAGCTCCACTACTATTGTCTATTTTTAAGATCAGATGGTTTAAAAAAAAACTATTTTTTTAATCTGTAAAAGGTCCTGCATTCTTAACTATTTTTGTTGCACTATATTAAATATAAAGTGTGTGATTTCCAAGGATTTTTTATTTGTTTTTACACAGTAACGCCTGCTGTCGGGTGCAAACAGGTCCTGGCGACGGCCTCAGTTGGGGCAATTCGCCCCCTAGTACGTATCGGCCCAGTTCAGGAGAGACCGGGAGGGGGGGGTCCCTTCAGCATTGGGGGGGGACTTCCTTCCCACCAGGCTGGCATGTACGGAACTGGAGCCAGAGGTTGTGGCAGCGCCACGGTGCCCTACTCCTCTAGAGCAGCTTATTAGGGAGTCGGACCCTTCAGTCCCCACTGAGATCCCACCACCTTCACCTTTAGGATTATAGCCAGGCAAGATGACCTGCGCAAGAATAACGCTTGAAGCTTGGCCTCTTTTTTTCCTCCACCCACCTGGTGCCATGACTTTCCACCCCCTTCTTTCCATTTTTTTTCGCAACTGGTCCTGGTGGGAACAATGCTCTTGGCAGGAAGGAGGGCGTTTTCTGCTGGAGGGCGAGCATCTGGGACCCCCTTTAGCAACAGGATAAACACACTGGCAGGGGAATCCCATGCACCCGTGGGTTCTCGTCAGCTTTTGGACAGGTCTCTCGGGTTATGTTAAATAAACACCTCCCATTAATATGGCCCATGCCTCTTTTTTTCCATCTTCCTTAGAGCCCTGGATCACAAAGGGGGAGCTCGCTTCATAACTGGGTGGGACCAAATGGAGACCAGCTGCAAACCACATTGCAAGGGGTCCCATTTTAATAAAGAATTGGAGGGTGGTTGTTGTAGGTTTTTCGGGCTCTTTGGCCGTGTTCTGGAGGTCTTTCTTCCTAACGTTTCGCCAATCTCTGTGGCCAGCATCTTCAGAGGACAGGAGGTAAGACTCTGTGTTCTGGTGTAGTGTGTGAGATAGTTGAGTATTTGTATCTGTGGGAGCAGCTTTTTGTCCTTTTCAGGAGACTGGGTGATTATGGTGATCAGGGGGATTTTTGTTATGGGTGTATTGTTGGGATAAGTGGGGAAGGTGATCTGTCACTGTGATTGATGGGTGTTGTTAGCTAGTCTTTTGTGTGCAGTGATCACCGGTCCTTGTGGCTGGGTAGACTTCATCGACCTTTTTGCAGGCTGTATTTTTCAGTGCTAGGAGCCAGGCTGAGAACAAAAAGCTGATCCCACAGCTACAAATACTCAACTATCCCACTCACTACACCCAAACACAGACAGAGTTCTAACTCCTGTCCTCTGAAGATGCCAGCCACAGAGACTGGCAAAATGTTAGGAAGAAAAACCTCCCGAACACGGCCAAAGAGCCCGAAAAACCTACAACAGCCATCGGATCCCAGCCGTGAAAGCCTTTGAGATAAATTGGAGGATGGCTACTTATGCCAGGAGGGGTGCAGAAGTCATTTTCTTGTGTTGCACTGCTGTGTCTTCCCTTGGAAACCTATTTCAAGGTAGAAATCTGGATCCATGAAATGAAAATTACTTGGATCTAATCAACCAGAATAAGCTGAAGGCTATTTGAAACCCACTTGACTACCGAAAATAAATGCTTACCCGAAGCCAAATTCTGTATCCAAAGATGCCTCCTTTATCCGGTGAATGAATTTTTTTTCCAGCCGGTGGTGGAAGAATGAAAAGATAAGCATTGGTACACACATGCCATAAAACCTCTAAGATAACAAGTTAATTTCATCCTGACAAATCAGTACCTTCCTACGGGAAGGTGGCTGAGGAACCAAGAAAATGCTTCTCCTGTCATCAGGTGAGTTTCTCGTCCTAAAATGGGACGAGGCAGGGAAAGGATGTTGGAGCAGAAGAAGGCCTGCAGGAACTTGGAGACTAAGAGAGGGAGAAGGAATAAGAGGTCAGGGTTCCATTAATTTTGAAGCCTGATATACCAAGGGCCACAATCTTGGACTTAGGCATTGCTGGGAAATCAGCAAAGCCAAATGTGTGACACAAAACATGTTGCTAACAGTGGTGCCTTCGGGAAGCAGCAAATGGCCATACTTCAGGTAGAAGACAACTGGCACATCTCCCCGGGCATTTAAGGTGCCAAAATTCACGGATGCCCTTCTGCAGGACAATAAGAACTTAAGACTTTAACACACCCTTCTCTGCTCCATGAAGAAATCTCAACTTACATCACAAATGCTGGACAATTCGGTTTCTCGTAGGGACGTCTTGCTAAATTCCAGAAGCCAGAAAAAGGGAAACCATCAAGAGAAAACAACTGCTTTCAAAACAGGAAGGAAGGGAAAGAAAGCCCATTTTTATCCCAGCAGCGCAATTAAGTGAGGTGAAAAAGGTCACAGCAGCTAAGAAATAGATTTACTCCCAAATGCTAGCATCTGAAAGCAAAAAATACAATGTATATGTAGAACTGTACCCTGGTGTCTATGAACAGTTCATTCCCATTTCCTCCTCCCCCCACCCCCCAGTGGGATTATCACAGGGGCCTTGAAAACCCTCCAGCCAAGAGGACTGGAAAAGGCAATGGTCATGGAAGAAGGTGGAGGGTGATGGGGGTGAAGGGTTGTTGTTGTTTAATAATAAATGCAAATTTAATTAATGGGCTAGGCTTCTAATGAATATGAATTAAGGATTTGCTCCTACTTGCCGCTGGGAAGGCCACCAGCCCTCCGACGACCTCTTCTGCATGCCGTCAAGACCTAAAGCAAGACGTGGTCTTACCCGCTCCACCCACCACCACCTGGTAAGTTTTCACTGCATGCCGTCAAGACCTAAAGCAAGACATGGTCTTACCCGCTCCACCTACCACCACCTGGTAAGTTTTCAGTCGGCAAGAGGGGATTCAAACCCAGGTCTTCTGAGTCCATCACACTATCCACTATGCAACATGGGGTGATATTCACACAACCCACAACCCCCATTATTTTTTTTCTTGCAAAAAAGAAAATAACAACCACGGACATCTTCCAGCAATTTCGACTTGGTGGCAGCCTCGGTTCTGCCTGTGAAGCACGGCTCAGGCTTGGCCTCCCAGAGGGAAGCAGGTACAGTACGCGAACCCTCGCAGATGAGCCCTTTCACAACTCCCACCAAGAAAGTTTTGCACGCTTCTACTAGCACTCTTGTCCGCTTGGTTTACACCTCGTCCTTCTGCAAGACAGCCAGCAGAGGGAACAAATATTTGCACAACACGATAATGATGTTTTAAGGCGATGAATATTTAAAATCACAAACTGCAAGTATCTAAAATCACTGCATTAAAAAAAATACTGTCGACTGCTTTGAACTCTCCAGATATTAAGACTTCATGATCTTTGTTTGAAACATTTTTGTAATGCTCACTTGTTCAATTCCTTTGTAAATATTTGTACATTTACTGTTTTTAGCTTTTAAATATTGTCTTTGAATTGCTGTAAGCCACCTTTTAAGGAGAAAGCCAGGGCAAAAAATTTTTTTAAATTAATTAATTAATCAATAAGCTAATTAAATTGGCAATGCTAGCCACCACCCAGAAATTCAACCGCGACCAATGGGGTCACTCTTTCATTTCTATCTCTATCGTTACACTACACAGAAACTACAACTCCCAGAATGCAGGGAAATAAAGCCCTAAAAGGATCCGGAAGGAAACGTCTCCTTACAACCTCCTGCCAAGTTGCTTCCGGTTTATGGCAAGCCAATGACTCAGCAACCTCCCCAAAGACTCTGAAACGGGATCTTTGAGGCTAAAAAACCCCGCCGTTCTCTGCCTGGATTTAAATTAAGGGACACTCCATGCCCCAGAATGCAAAGCTGCCCCAGCCAGACCAATCAGAAGTAGCCCCTCCTACAGGAGTCAGAGGCGTAGACCGCGCAATGACTGACAGCCGGCCAGTGAGCCAATAAGCATGAGAAACCTTGACCATTATCCTCGCCTCCTCTGCATCGACAAGGCCCCGGACCAATCACCTCCGGCGAGAGGGCGGCGGTCGCGA